TCATGAAGTCCTGAGTGACTTCATGAATATCCTATGAATAATTTTTAAATAATTTTAATAGTTTGAATAATTTATGTTTGTATGGTTTTATATTTCTGTGTGCCATTTAGATATATTTGATTACTGTTACAAATTGTGACAAAAAAGCTTTGACTAGAGACAATCGCCCATGTTTTATCTTTACTTTTGTCCTACTATACGTTTATTATCCATCACTATTTAACAATAAATCAGTGTTTTGTTCAGTGTGATGAAAATTAGAACACTAGTGAATTATAATACAATATGCAGTGTCACTACCTTAAAATTGATTTCCCCGTCTAAGCTGTAAAAATGGGGAAATATGCTTTTATGGCTCTATTTTTACCTGTGCATGTGTCAAAATGCGGCAAGAAAGTAGAACAAGACTTCTTTTGACAAATGAAAGCTTTAATGCATATTTCAAGGCGCATTATGACATTAATATCCGCTCTGCGCACGTGTAGCTCTGAGAGAAAAGAACGAGATTGACAGGACCACAATGACGTAATACAGTCTCTTGCATTATGACGTCATTAGCCGGCAGTCCTCGCGCACCGATTGGCTTGCACGAGCTCCCGAATCACGCCACTCAGTCGGACAGACAGTCGCCTTACCTTGGCCACAGAGAGCAGGTAGTAGCAGGCATAAGCAGCGCTGAATCCGAGCACCACTGAGAGTCCCACCCCAGAGCCAAAGAGCCCGACTTTGACTTGGTTTTTGAAGTAATGTTTTGAGTCGGTGCTTCCGAGAGAAATGCAACCCGGCAGAACGGAAAACAGAAGGAAGTCGGAGGGGGCGGGGCTTGCGACTCGGCGTTTCTTATTCGTTGTTTGATTGGATTGCGTCATGTCCATTTAAAGTCACACAGTAGATGTAACGCGGCAGAAGAACGACACCTTCAATGAAACGTTGGTTTAATTGTTTGTTTTTCTAAGTGTTATTAAAGAGTATATAAAAAAACAGAAATGACGGAAGAGGAAAAAAATGCATTTGAAAACGAAATTCTAAATGACAGAAATTATTTCAATATTTATTTATTTAATACGGTTTTTACATTTACATTTAGTCATTTAGAAGACGCTTTTATCCAAATCGACTTACAAATGAGGAATCAAAATCAACAAAAGAGCAATAATGTAAGTGCTGTGACAAGTCTCAGTTAGCCTAACGCAGTATGCAAGGGTTTATATATATATATATATATACATATATAAAGAAAGCAAGAAGATAGAATAGAAAAATAAGAGGGTACACAGTGTTAGAGGGGTTTTTATTTTTTATTATAAATAAAAAGAAAACAAATAGTTAGAACAGAAATAGAAGTACAAGTGTTAGAGGGTCAAGTGTTTTTTTATATAAATAAATAGATAAAAATAGAATTAGAATAGAGAGTGCTACAGTTTAGAGGGTCAGTGCAAGCTTCTGGAGGGCACATAAGCCTGAAGTAGTGAATTTAGGTAAAGGGGTGCAGAGCCAGTGGTTGTTTTGTAGGCAGACATCAATGCCTTGAATTTTACATGAGCAGCTACTGGTAGCCAGTGCAAATTGATGAACAGAGGTGTGACATGCGTTCTTTTAGACTACTCTTGCAGCTGTATTGTGGATTATCTGCAGAGGTTTGATAGAACTGGCTGGAAGCCTTGCCAAGAGAGCATTGCAATAGTCCAGTCTGCGCAGAACAAGCGCTTGAACCAGTTGTATTGCATGTTTCGAAAGAAGTCAGTGTAATGCCAAAATAAATGTAAATTAGTTTAGGGTGATAATTACTAAAACAGAGCCTGTATATATATTTAATTTCTGCACTACTTACTGTAAAACGGTGTCACGTGTTGCGTTACTTCACTCAACGTAGAAGCAACTAACCAATCAGAATCGTTTGTGGTTGCACGAATTGATATTTTATATGCGTATTTTACTTGCACTACTTGAGCGGATTTCCATTTTTGTTCTGAATTGTATATAATTCGACAAGGAATTAAAAATGTTTCAAATGTAAGAATCCTACTATGCTGCGGTCTTGGTCATGAATATTAATTAGGGTACGTGAGTGGACACTGAAGGAAGGTTACTAAGCAACGTTAGTCCAACCTAATGAATATTCATGAGTGTCGTCCCTTGTGTGTTGTCCAGTTTTGGACCTTACACCAGGACTATTATTCATTAGCATTAGCCCCTCCACTCATTTTAGCTCGTTGCCTATCTTTATGTGGAGTACCAGTGGATTATTTTGTCATGTGCCTGCACGCAGTTAAGTTTCTGCTATGTCTATATAAGCAGACCTAACATCTGGCTTACTCGGAGCACTGGAAAGCAGCGATATAAAATGCCACTTAATTAATAATAGTATAAAATAACTACCGCAGTTTTATGAGAGAGTTTGTCTGCTCGGTAAATACGTCTGGTTACCTTGCGTAACCCTGTTTTTAGTGGAAATAGACAGAAAAGCTGCAGGATAGCGCCCTCTACCGAAGACAGGATCCAACCGAAGCAGTCGCTTTTGTTAATGCAGTGCAGCCTAACTTCAGTAAGTTGTCTTTCTCGTCTGTTTTATTTGATTAGCTTTTTGTTCTGCTGAACTGAAATGGCTTTCGCATTGCGCAGTACTCGTTTCTTGCAACAACAAAAAAACGACTCTTTTCATCATAGGAATAAATAGGTAGCGAGCAAGCGGCAACCTTCCGCTCTCTCTCTCGTGAAGCCAACAAGGAAGTGACTGAAACTGTAATTCGTCAACTGGCCGCTAGAGGCTGGCTGCAAAAGGGAGTCAATCCCATAGACTCCCCATGTTAAAGGGGTCATATGATGCGATTTCAATTTTTCCTTTCTCTTTGGAGTGTTACAAGCTCTTGGTGCATAAAG